CCACCGTCAACACACAGGACCTCTGTGGCTTTCTGAAATTCCTGCTCATCGGCCTCATCATCATCCACGTCTTCGTCATCGTCGTCATCTTCATCCTTGTCGCGGCCGCGGGGAGGTCTGTCTCCTTGCCGCTGCTTGGCCTTGCCGCGGCGTCCCCCCGGCCGGGGCGTTTCTTGCCGGATTCACCAGTTCTTTCCTGGGCCTTCTCTTTGTCGCGTCACTCGTATTCAGCCTTCTACTGCTCAGCAAGCTGTTCGACCTTTTTGCAGTTCTGGAGATCGTGACCCTTGGTGCAGTGAATCTTGCAATACTGCCTGCCGGAGCTGTCCTGCTTGTCGGCGGCCGCCACAGGATGGGCCTCCTTGTCGGAGCCACCAGCCTTAGCTTCCTTGGCGCCACCTCCGTTGTCGGTCTGCTCAACAGCTAGCACTTCCTTACCCTTATTCCTTCTGTAGTTCCGCCGCCGGCCTTTCCTCGCCGGGGCGGCATCCTCACTGTCAGATCCTCCTACCCCTGTACTCTCTCCGGGGAGCCTCCTCCCCTCTTCAGCGCGTGCACACTTGTCAGCCAGGGCATAAAGCTCGCTGACGTCTCTGATCTTACACATTGCCATCTCCTCCCTCATCCTTCGATTTTGCACGTTCTGATGGAACGCGCTAATGATTGCGGCGGGGTGGATGTCTGGGATGTTGTGCTGTACACGGCTGAATCTTTGAATGTACTTGCGCAGTGGCTCTCCTTCCTTCTGGGCGAGCAGATGAAGATCGCTCTCTTGGCCATGTGGCTTGTGGCCGCCTGTAAAGGCGCCGACAAACTGATGGCACAGATTAGCCCAGGAAGATATGGAGTTGTCCGGCAAGTGCATGAGCCAGGATCTGACATTGGGCTTGAGCACCAGCGGGAAGTAGTTGGCAAGGATCTTGTCATCTCGTCCCCCGGCAGCTTGCACTGCAATGGTGTAGATGCTGAGGAACTCCGACGGATGCGTCTTGCCGTCGTACTTCTCCGGCACGTCTGGCTTGAAATTTTTTGTGCTGGGCCACTTGACTTGCCGCAGCTCACGGGTGAACGCAGGACAACCTACCGCGTACGGTAGATCGCCTGGTTCCCCTAGCGCATGCATGTCAACAGAGAGCCCAGCGCGCTTGTCGGATTGACGTCGCGCTTCTCTTCGGCGCTAGATGCGGGTTCGAGCGTCTTCTTTTTGCCGTTCATGGAGAACTTGACGCTGGTCGCGACGAGCTCGTGGGTCCGACGACGCGGTGGAGCCGCTGTTGGGGTGGACCCGGCGAGTCTGCGATTTTGGCCTTCATAGTGGAGAGTGCATGGAAGTCGCACCTCCCTCCGTCTTGTTGCCATCGGCTCGCGTCTGGTTGTCCTGCCGCGGCAGCGAGGTGCTTGGTTGCCGCGCAGTGTCGCTGTTAGCGAAGCCGATGAGGATATGGATAGTGGCCCTCCATTCGTCGGTCTTGTCCGCCATCGGAGGATAGTCCAGGAGCAGCTGGGCCCATGCCAAGGCTTCTGCTGGGGTGGTGGGCGGCAGAGGTGAACGGTGCGAGGAGAGGGGCGTGCTCGGACTCCTAACCAAGTTAGAAGGAGCAGCGTCCCGTCCCGGCGACCGTACCTCGCTGGGGCCAGCATGCTGGCGTGCATGCTGGTCTTGAGCGCCGCGCGAACCACCAGCTTGATCTTGGGTCAGCGGACGTATGGCGCTGCGAACGCTATGACGCTGCTGGTCCCGCGCCTCTTGAGAGAGACGCGGAGCGCGCATGGACGCCGAGGTCTGTGCCGCCTTGTCCTTGGACTTGGCAGCGCTGTGGGCACCCTCGTCGACGCCCATTCCTCCACCGGCGTCCGTTCCACCATCCGTTTGCTCCGGAGGCGGTGGAAGCGACGCGGACGGAACAGCTGCCTCCGAATTCTTCTTCTTCGGTGGCATGTTGATGAATGCGGTGAAGATCTAGGATGTGTGCACGCCGGATCGGGTTCGCACGATCTCGACGCCCCCTACCTGGCGCGCCAGAGATGTCAGGGGCGATGCTGATTCCCGCCAACACCTATGGGGACAGGGCCCCTTTTCGGTTCGGTGGGGGGCGGAGAGCGCACAAAGAGCGGATCGAGGCAGTGCACGCGGGGAGATTTTTACCCAGCTTCGGGCCGCACGGATGCGTAAAACCCTACTGCTGCTTGTTTGTGTATATTGGATTCTTGCTCAGGAGCGATGGACGCTGCCAGACTGAGCGTAAGAGTGTCTCTGGTGTTGAACGAGCCGAGCTGGCCGAGTCTCTGAACTCCCCGACCCTCGGAACCCTTTCTACGTTGCGCTAGGGCCTCCTTTTATACTCAAGGGGTCACCGACAGGGGGCAACGTAGACAAGAAGGGTAAAAATGGAAACGGATGTGGTAGGTGCAGCTACCGCTACTGTGGATACAGTGCACCCTACCTAACTCTGACGGCAGGGGACAAGGGCATTAAATGCCTGTCTGAGTCTTCTAAACAGTGCAAAAGGTGACCGTTAGGAGTGCCACCGTTTGCCACGATGGGCTTCTCTTTATCTCCGCTTGCCACCACGTACCCCTAGCTGCACGGCCTCCCGCCACGTGCGCTCTGGGAGAGTCCCAGAGCGACACGTTAGCAGGTGAGCTGGAGCGCGGGCACGCAGTGGGGGTTTCCCGCGGCAAGCTCCTTGCCGCGGCCGTCGTCTTGTCGCGTCCGGAAGCTTGTCGCTCGCCGGATCTTGCCGGGACGCAGGGCGCGTCGCGGCAAGCTTTCTTGGTATGTCTTGAGTGGCCTTCCCGACAAGCTCCTCTTGCCGGGGTCTTGTCTCTTCCCGGCAAGGTCCTCTTGCCGGGGCCTTGGTTGGCCTTCCCGGCAAGCTCCTCTTACCGGGGCCTCGGTTGGCCTTCCCGGCAAGCTCCTCTTACCGGGACCTTGGTTTGAGTACTTTGTTCTTGAATGGTCTTCAAGGGAACCACGGAGGGTCCTGGCGGTCACCCGGCAAGCCTTGCCGCGGGGCGCTGCAACTGCCCGTGCACGAGTTCGGGGTAATAGGGTACCCCTACTCTAGTACACCGACAGTATGGTATTAATATATTGGTGAATACGGTGTGAAATTTAGATACGGCTCGGTCTCCGTATATACCAAGTTATTTCGGTATGGTTTCGGTACATATCTTAAAAACCAAAGTTGGCGCGAATTTGAAAATGATATATAATAGTTTGCAAATTTATGACTCAAAACACATATCTTTTTATACAAAGAGCATATAACTATATGAGTGCATATGCATGCATGGATTCGATGGTTATGGACGTGCTTAGTATTCTTGTGAAGAGAAGTATGACTGTTACAATAAAAGTGGATGTGCTTAATAGGAAATCTAGCTTATGTAAAAAAATGACTACTTGTATGGTTGTTCTCCCCAAGATATATACATATATTTTTACTTCGGTTTATTCGGCAAACCATTCGGTTTTTCGGTATATACCATAAAAAATAGAATTCAAAACGGTATGAAAAGTTCATACCATACCGAGACCATAAAAACCATAAAATTGGTTCGGTTTGGTCTATTTTCGGTATGGTTTTTCGGTTCGGTTTTAAAATGCACAGATGAGACAATACGACACATTAATATTGAGAACACATTACCGGGGTGATGACAGGGACAATAGGGCAACATGGCGGACGAGATAGAGGTGGCAAGATTGGGGTATGAGGAAGGGCGAGAAAGGGTGGCTCAACCGTGGTCTAACTTGTCCGATGATATGAGACATGGACACATGCGAAAATGGGTTGTATAAGCTGATGACCCCATGTGAAAGTCGATGGCATTGGTTAGGGCACAACCAGGTGGATTTGATAGGAGTGGTGGTGGAGGCTTGCGGTCTCAAATTATCGGATGATACTGTGAAGATTATTCTGGACAATCATTTTCAACAAGTCACACAAATGTCAAGAGTGGGCATGTATACATGTGAGAATGGGGTGGTATGACGCAATGCTCATCTGAAAATCAACGGCCTTATATGAGCGAGAGAGCCAAAGAGGGCCCCTCTTTGGAAAGAACTATTAGGTTAAAAATAAGCGAGCAACAAAGAGGGCCCCTTAGAAGAACTATTAGGTTAAAAATAAGCGAGCAGCTCTGTAGATAGGTTACAAGTAGGATAATTTTGTACTCCCTCAGTCCAATATTATGGGACAGAGGGAGTACCATTTTACCAAAAGCAAAAACTTCAGCCCAAGGTTATTCTTTTAGAATGTGCATTTCCCTCTTCTATAGAAATAAAATATGAGTAATTCATTATGAAAGATTTCTAATTTCCTCAACCTCTCAACATTAGACTTGATTCTTATTTAACGCTTTTGGTTGCTACAAAGTGCACCTAACATGTGAAATGTGCTCTACCTGGAACACCATCGTCGAGTTGAAAGTACCGGATATTCATAAAGACTTTCTTGAGACAGCAACCAAGAAGATTAATGAACAGTGCTACTCAACTCGAAAAATGAGGGAATCGTTGTATACATATAAACTTGGATTCAAAACCGAACTCTGCCCAGTAACGGTTTTATAGAAGATAGAGAAAAAAAAATACAGAACGTAAAGAAACTAATCCTTCACTTAACCTATTTCCAGCTTTGTGTTGTTTCTCTCTCAGAAGAAAAAAAAGGAAAAGAAATCTGTCACTAAATATTAAAATCCAGGAATGAACCAACTAATTTATGTGTACCACTATAAACAACCACAAGAGAAAAGATTGCAGCGCCGGCTATGGGTTGCAGTTGCTTATGTCAGTTTGGCAAACCAAATCCTACTTCTGCAACATTTTTTCTTCTAAAACCTGCACATGAAACAGAAAGCCTGTCATCAGATCAGTACTGAGTTTCGGCGTTGAAGAAAGGAACAAGCTGGCTTAGCCAAACACAGACCTATAAATATGCATGAAAACCACTGGTACAGTAGTCGAAGAAAACTGAAGTGAACAGGATGCGTATCTACATGTCCGGATGCCCAAATGGCGCACGCACAAATAGCTGGCCATGAAGCGTGACAACTGCTGATGTTTGATGCGGATCAATCCTTAACGGCAAGTTGATCACCTGAGACAGAACAATCAGTTCATGTTAAGTTGAGGAAGTACCCAATCATTTATGTGTTTAAATGTTTATAAACAATCACCTTCTTGAATGCAGTGATGCCCCAAGGGTTATCAGGCTGGTCAGGGTCCCCAGTTATAACCAGACGTCCAGCAGGATCAGACTGAACATGCACCTGCTCCAGTTGGTACAAGAATTAATATTTTATCCCTGGCGCAGACTCAATTTCGTGTGACAAGCTCTTTTTGTTTATGTTGCACAGATTTTATTTTATTTTTGGATCAATGATTAAGTGTGGCAGCTGAGATGCAATCTCACCTCTTCCCTTAGAAGCCCAGGAACTAGCGCATATATCTCAAAGCATTCTTTCTGCATGAAAGCAGTAACAAAATGTAGCAGTTTCAGCTCAAATCCAAATGGAATTTCACAATGAGAAACGACTCTTAAGAAATTGTTTAATATTTCAGACTATCAAGACACTTCATGTAATATTCGTGCACCACCTTAAAACAAAATAATTATGTTGACACTTACAGTTTGACGAACATTAATCTTCACCCAATCGGCAGGTTCTCCAACATCAATGACCATAGAATCTTCCCTGAAATTGGGCAGTACGTTACATATAATAACATGCATTATAGACATAACATCCAAATCCATGGATTCTTCTGACAAGTTCAATCCTACTATAAGGTCCTATAATTTTTTGGGATTTTCCTTATTAAATTGAGGAGTGACATTTCAGGGGTCAAGTTGTCTATTGCATGCCATGCCATATTCGGAGAGCATGCCTGTTAATTCCCATTGGTTTCAGCACAAACAAAATTTGAATGTTTAAACTCTTATTTTATTAGGTCCATTCAGCAGGTAAGATTCTTGATCTCTTGAACATAGGCAACAGCAGATGCAAGATAGAGAGCACATAAGCAAATGCAACTTCTTCACAGTAAAAAAATTCTGCTTGCACTTTAAAACGAACCATGTATGTGTAAGTGAAACTTAAATAACTGCTATTAAAGGTTACTTAATGTTTTCAATCTGCTAAATTCTTGAGATTGTAAGTTTGTCTTAACAGCTGAAGTAAACATAGCCAACTGAGATTGATGGGAGGTCTTAACTGTGACTTGTTCACTTTTGTACGGGAGACCTTGAAAGCACGCTCTGGACTAGATGCTTTCTTCCTCTTGAGTACCCCTGAAATGCCAGAAAGATATAAGAGAAGAAAGCATCACATGCTAACGCAAAAATACTTGTGAAGCATACCAAAGCCTTTCAGATTCTTATCACGACTTGAAAGGGGTATTGAGTCTTTGTCCTGTAGAAAAGTGAATATATTTGCATGAAAAGATCAAAATTGTAGGAAAATCAAAGTATGTGCAAGTAAATGTCAAGATATTATTTACCTTAAAAATGTGATCTCCATACATGTCATTGGCAAGGAGACGGTGCGCATGCCAACCCTGCATAGCACGTGCTGCAGCATCCCTTCTAATTCTTGCAGAAGATGATGCATTTACACCCTGCGAAACAGGAAACAAAATCATCAAGCTTACTAATGTTAGCAGGTGACAGCAAAACATTTTCGGCAATGTCAGATATCTTAAAGGCAGTCATTGAAATAGTTCCTATCTTAACATAAAACTGTGTTAATTCCGACTGTGAAATATATGTACACCAATCCAGCTCTGAGCCCGATAAATCTTTTAACCATTTATGGAAAGCAAGAATTCCTTTGAAAATCAGAATTTGGTTGTCGTTTACTTGGCATAGGTCACTAATGACACATTGAAAAAAGGGATGGGAAGGGGATGAAATCTGTCGTTTCTGCTCACACACTGAGAACATATACCATATTTTCTGTGATTGTGTAGCTGCTAAGTTTGTTTCGAGTTCTGTTAGCCTCACTCTGGAAGCAACACATCATCCTAGTTGTTTTACACTATTTTTGGCGGGCACCTTCATATATACCAGGCATATGTAGTTTGCAAGTGGTGGGATTGACTGCCCTGTGCTAGGCCTGCTGGAAGTTGAGAGAGGAGCTGGTTTTGATAACAAGCTGATTAAAACTCGTGCTGAGTTAATCTGTTATGCTTGCACCTTTATGAAATATTGGGCAGGGCTCCACTCAAGCCAAAGATCAATTGGTTCCTAAGCTTAATGAATGGCTGGTAATGAGGTGGAGAAAATGATGTTACAAGAAGATGTAAGGTGATGATGAGAGGAGAGGTCCTCAACACTGAACTTGCGACCACTTCATGGTTGATATTGTTCGGATTTTTACCTGTGTGCTGCTCCCTTTGCGAGTGTGGCTGTGCACCTTTACAGTTGCGCTGTGCTTGTGCACTTTTGATACCTTTTAAGTCTAAATAGATAGCAATTGCCTCTGTACGGTGGTTAGTGTTAGGTGATACCGTGCAAGCACTCAAGAGTTTTGTTATTTCCTTTTTGGTATGGTATGCACTGAACTTGACATGTTCCATTATTCCTTGGAATAGTAGAAGCAGGCATAACATTGTGTCATGTGGAAAACAGTTCAACAGGACAAGAAATCAGTGGTGACAGAACAAGAAGTCAGTATTTTTTTTAATACAAATCTTAACATTTCCTTGATTTTCAGTTAGATTGAAATATGAATTTGAAATCCTTAATATTTTAGACAAGGGTATGTCAACCCATCAAACTTTCATATGTGCACCAAACTAGAAAGTGAACTGCAAAAATTCATATATAGTTAAAACTCTACTTCCCAAGATAAATACCTCACGGTTTGTACCACCAGGTTGTGGTATAGCAGGTATTGATATTTTAAGCTGGCCAGTTCGTACTTTGTGTTTTTCATATTCAAGAAGTGCCTGAGTTGATAAGAAACAACAGTTAACAACAAATGAAGCAAATGCATAAACATAACATGGAAATACATAAGCTTAGAATAGTGTTTTTCTTTCTTTTATTCCATCCGAAAACTGACAAGGCGGCATCTCACAACAACAACAAAGCCTTTCAGTCCCAAACAAGTTGGGGTAGGCAAGAGTTGAAACCCACAACATATCGAAACCAAGTCATAGTTCTGGCACATGGATGGCTAACTTCCACGGACCCCTGTCTATGGCTAAACCTTTGGTGATAGTCCAGTCCTTTAGGTCTCTCTTTACGGACTCCTCCCATGTCAAGTTTGGTCTACCCCGACCTCTCTTGACATTATCGGCACGCCTTAACCGTCCTCTACGCATGGGCGCTTCCTGGAGGCCTGCGCTGAACATGCCCAAACCATCGCAAACGATGTTGGACAAGCTTCTCGTCAATCAGCGCCACCCCAACTCTCTCACGTATATCACGAGATGGCATCTCGCGAAATAAGGAAAATGAAGGATCTTAAGTCTTACATAAATACTCCCTCAGTCACATATTAATTGACGCTCAAGCGGATGTATCTATACGTATTTCAGTGCTAGATACATCTGTTTGAGCGTCAATTAATATGGGACAGAGGAAGTAGCATCTACTCCCTCCCATCTGATCAGCTAGTCCCATCTCCAAAATCGCAGCAACCAAGATGAAGCTAATTAAGTGGTTCTACGTCCTTTCCGGTTTAAACGGCTCACGTGTATCCCTAGATTGACAATTTGATCAACGTAACACGAGTTATATATCACAAAAGAATAACCATTAGAAACTTCAAATGTTGTATTTTCTAATGGCATACCGTTTATGACATACAATTTGTACTGCATTTATCAAATTGTCGATATAGGGTACACCTTGGCCTTTTAAACCAGAAGGGAGGAAGTAGACAACATACCAATGCTACATGCATATCCACCTCTCTCCTTCATGCATTAGTTGATTCCACATCAAGAAACAAAATTTGACAGAATTTAATGTAGCCATAGCAAAAGTTTACCTATTCCTAAAGCAATGAGCCTTACAAAACGGAAAATCAATCTTTTTTAGATGAGACTAACAAACCAGAAGGGAGGGAGTATCAAATATGGAAGTAAAGTACAACAGTTTCTATGAAATGAAAAAGAAGCAAGTATTATAGTTATATCTGTTTGGTTCCTAAACCATTAAGAACACTAACTATTGCAGTGGATCCATTTCAGCTCCATATTTCTATTTGTAATAACCATCCTAGTAGGTTTTAATGGTATATAGCTTTTCGTTCAGCAAGTAAATTTACAGTAAAGCTCCATATGCCATAATATTGTTTCAAGAGAAACTGCTTCCCAGCTACCATAGTGGGGATGAGATGCGCTTGTGAGACAAGTACAACATGTAACCAAATTCTGCGAGCAATCTATCACCTTCTCGTAGAAAATCCGAAATGACCAAGACACCGTAGTGCAAGTCCTACAAAAGAACACAATAACAACAATAAGCTGACACAAAATTTAAATCTTTCACTGCAAACTCGTTTAACATGTATCGTTGGAAAAAAAAAGCTTACTTTGGTGGCCTGAAAGTCTCTCCAACTTGACGCCATAGTTTACAAACTGTTACCTGAATAATCAAAATAAACGTCGTGAATAACTATCAATGTTCAACGGAAAGATACTGCAGTATTTACAATAGAAGATGAGCAGTGGATTCTGCACAAAAGCACAGTATCCTTAAATTTGTTATCATCGGTGAGCTACTTGCTAGTTATTGCATTCATTGGTGGAACATGTGGAGGAACTTCAACGCTTTCACGGTACTAAAAAATCACGCTGTAGTATCGGGATTCGGGAGCATGTCCAGTCTGTTCCTGTTCAGTTGTGCGACGAAAAGGAAATCATTGATACCTGCTCATGGCCTCCCAGGTGAGCGACCTGCCTCCACAACCTGGAACAGAACAGCGTAAGGCACTTCGTTAAGTTCATTTAGACGAGAAAATGTGGTTCGAGTAGCTCGGAGAAACGAGAGGGATGCGCACTTGAGGCAGTTGAGGCCCTTGCCGTAAAACTTGGGCGGCTTGAACTCGAGGCTGTGCTCCCTGTGGAAGCGCTCCAGCTCAGACATGAACGCCGCCTGCTCCTCCTCCGTCCCGGAGTCGTGACCCTCGAGAAAAGGGTCGGGCTCCACCGGCTGCTGGCTGGCGCACTGCGCCAACCCGGCCGACCCGTCGCCCTCCGCCTTCACCTCCGCCCTCGGCGACGCATCAGGGGTGGAGTCGTCGTCCTCGTCCTCGTCATCCTCCTCGTCGTCATCATCTTCGTCGTCGTCCTCGTCCTCGCCGTCCCCCTCATCGCCGTCGTGGCTCATGGCGTCCTCGCCGTTGGTCTCCACCCTCACGCCCACGGCCTCCTCCCCGGCGTCGGGCGGCGCGGTCTCCCCGCGGTCCCCCGCATTGGGCAGCCCCGCCCGATCCGGGGAGCGCTCGCCGTCGCCGTCGCTGTTCGTTTCGGGGGACGGGGGCGCGTCCTGGAACTCGTCGGCCACGGGCGGCTCCTCCTCCTTCGCGGCCCGCGGGTCGGGGTGGCGCGGCTCGTCGTCGCCGTCGGCGCGCGGGAGGTCGCGGTCGGAATCGGCGCCGTCGCTCATCGCGGCACGGGGGAGGAGGAGTGCGAATGGGCGGCTGCTATTTTCGCGGTTTGCACCGAGGGGGGGAGAGGAGCGGAGAGAGGGAGGGAGGGAGGGAGGGGGAGGGGGGTAGAGAGGTGGCGACTCGCACGGGAAGGCAAGGGACGGAGAAGAGAGAAGAGAAGGATGGATCTCCACGGCTTGCGATGGATCGAGGGACGGACGGGAGCCAGATTCCTCTCTCTCGCGGCCCGTCGGAACCCGTAGGCCGATCCACCCTGTCAGTGATTCCTCCTGGGCTAGGCCCATTACTGTTTTGGAAGTCACTAGTAGGTATTGTAAAGGACCCTCCTAAGTTCGGACGTTCGGATTCTAAGAGCATCTCCAACAGCCGCGCTAAAGCGCCGCGCGCAAAAAACCTATTTAGCGCGCGCGCTGCGGCTGGTTTTGCGCGCCCGCCTGCGCTGGCTCCAGCAGCCGCGTCATAATGCAGCGCGCGCGCGCCGCTCCAGCAGAGCGCAAAAATACAGCGCGCGCGACTCGCCGGGCATTTTGCATATATGGATATTTTGGACAAAAATGAACATGTAAAATTTGACACAAACAAGTTGATGAATAAAAGTTCATGCCCACAAGTTCAAAATCATGCCCACAAGTTCATCCAACCAAGTTCAAATGCAAACTAAAAGTTTAAGACATGAAAGACACATCAATCTTCATCTTCCTCTTCTTCGTCTTCGTCCTCATCTTCCGAAGACGACTCTTCCGCCTCCGAAGATGAATCTTCCTCCCTCTCCTCATCACGCACCGCATCACGCACCGCATCATGTGAAGCTCCGACGGTGTTGGCAAGATCTTCAACGGCGTCTTCATGGGAATGTGTGTGAGAAGCCATGACGGCCGGAGGTGCACCCATGGCGGTCGGAGGTGCACCCATGCCTCCCATGAGAGAAGCAAAACTCATGCCTCCCATGGCGGCCATAGCGTCGGAGGGTGCTCCAAAGCCACCCATGCCTCCCATGGCGGCCGGAGGTGCACCCATGCCACCCATGCCTCCCATGGCGGCCGGAGGTGCACCCATGCCACCCATGCCTCCCATGGCGGCCGGAGGTGCACCCATGCCTCCCATGACTCCAAAGCCACCAATGCCTCCCATGGTGCCGAGGCCACCGCCTCCCATGGCGCCGAGGCCACCGCCTCCCATGGCGCCGAAGCCACCCATGCCTCCCATGGCGCCGAGGCCGTCGCCACCCATTGCACTAACCAAGGCTCTTTTTCGGATCAAGACTTCTTGTTGGGCAAGATTGACATACTCTTTTTGCGCCGTATTGAGGTTAGATGTGTCCATGAAGAACAAGTGCTTCTCCCATTCCAACAACTTAGCTCGCTCCTCGTTGCTCACTTTCCTCTCCTCCAAAGTCACCTTTCTCTCCTCGGCCGCCACCCTTCTCTCCTCGGCCGCCAACCTCCTCTCCTCGGCCACGGCATCTTGGTTCCTTGCCATTTTCCTCACCTCATTGGCTTCGACCCTTGCCTTCACAATAGCTTCCATAGCATTTTTGAGCTCATCATCTCCTTTCCTCTTCTTCTTTTCGATTTTGTCTTTCTTGCACCCATCCGGTCGTTTTGGCTTCAAGTATGAAACCGAGTTGGGTGTGGGGCTTCTCTTGCCGTCATAACTTGATGCATCATCCTCCTCCTCATCATCATTCATCTCAATTGCTCGCTTCCGTTTGTTGCTCAAATGCAAATCCTCCAAACCATCACGCTTCTTCCATTTCTCATCATCCTTTAACACTTCATAGCAATGAGGCAAGGTAAAGATCCTGCCTTTCTTGATCTTCCCCTTCTTGGTTGTCCTTGTCTCTTGTTTGAACAAGTTTTGTGCAATGTTGAACTACAAGAAAAACAAAACAAGTTAGCACTTCGGTCACCAAAAACAAGTATGATGAACATATATGAGATGCCACTTACTCGATCATCCTCATTTGTGCCACTTGGGTTAATCTTGTCCACTGACTTTTGCGCGGCCGCCCACTTTTAACAATCCGAGTTGATTGTCGACCATCGGGACCGAAGTGATCTCTCGGAGCGGTCAATTCCACTCTTGTTGTGAGCATCAAAGTGTTCTTTCATTCGCCCCCAATACGCGTCTCTACTTTGATCACCTCCAATGGATGGATCCCTCGACACATGCAAATAAGTGTAGCATAGTAACTTGTCATCGGTGGTGGAGTAATTGCCCGCTCTTCCTTTCGGCGTCTCGACAATTCCCTCACCCTCCTCGTCCACCTCAAACTCATGGTCTTCGAAATGGATGTCATTGGTTTGAGACCAATGCGAATTGTTGGACCCAACACCCATAGTGGACATGTATGCATCATCGTTGAGACTACAAAGTTTTTTGAACAATGCAAATAAGCTATCTATATGTGATGATGATGCATTGAAAAAATAAGAAGAAAAAAATACTTGGAATTTTTTTCACCTTGGGGGCATTTCGTCGAACACGTGGTGCGCGTCGGCGGCCGGCTCAACGAGTGAGCTCGCCGGCGCTTCGGTAGCCGCCGCGACCGTCGAACGCCCTGCAAGCTTTTTTCCCCTCGCCTTTGTGATGCCGGAGCCGTCCGCCGCCTTGTTCTTCTTCGCGGATGTTTTGCCCTTCTTCGTCCGCGCCGCATTGGGTACCTTCTTTGACGGTGCGGCGGCGGCACGGGATGGCGCCGGCGCGACGCCACCCGGCGCCGTAGTCATCCGCGGCGGCAAGAAGAGGCTGCGCGCGAGGCCGACGCTCGGCGGAGCTCCGGCGGTGGTGACGCCAGCGCTCGCCGCGCTAGGGTTTCCGGCGGCGGCGGCGGCGGCTGCGGCGGCGGCAGCGAGGGGGTCGCGGCTGTACAGCGGGGTGAGCGGGGCGCCGGTGTGCGCGTCCATAGTCGGTGGCAGGGCGCCGGCGCCGGCGCGCGCGGGGCGTAGGACGAGGAGAGGAGAGAGTGCGGCGCGAGCGCTCAAGTGTGCCGCGCGCTGTAGCTGGCGCCCCAAATACACCGCGCGGATAAGTGTTTTTGACCGCGCACCCAACCCGTTATAGCGCGCGCGCCGTTTTTGCGCGCCCGCTGGAGCGACCCGCCGCGTTGCGCGCGCGCTAAAAAGGCCTAATTTGCGGCGCGGCGCTAGTTTAGCGCGGCTGTTGGAGATGCTCTAAGCATGCCAACCCGAGGGAGGAGTAGTTAAGGCCATGCTTAAAACATCAAGATGGCGAAAAGTCCATCAAAACTCTCTGATGACGACTAGTGGTGAAGCACCAACATCAAGCTGGAGAGAATCCATCAAAACTCTTTGATGACAATAGATGGGTAAGGTCCTTAAGGTACCCTAACGAAAACTCGTGTGCATCAGCTAGGTTTCCATGTTTGATCGCTGTCGTCGGCTGCTCTTGTTCTCATTGGCGATGGTTCTCGTGGTAGTCTTGATATGTCCCTTTGGTCCTTGTCCCTGCTCGTAGTCTCCATTGTTTTTCACGTCCATGTCAAAACCCTAGAAATTCCATCCGTGTTCTACACCTTTCGCGTGTGGCTAAAGTACGTGATCGTAATACATCGAACCTAGATAGAATTTTGGACTAAGGTTTGCAAAAGGGAGTACAGATGGGGTGGAAGGAATGCCGCGTGGATTGAAACTGACGGTTGCATAGAAGAAGGGGGTCAACGCCGGGTGGAGAGATTTTGGCAAAGTGGGAGTGGTGGAAGCGAAGGTGTGGGGAAGTTGATAGACCAGAAACCCGCCTACGCGTAAGCAATAGCGAATGCACTTTGGTATGATCTGGTGCTCGATAAAAGGTATTGACTGCAAGTTCATGGCGAGGATAGGTTTCTGATCACTCTCCATCAAGAATAAGTGAAAAAAGAAAGGTTGTAGATGGATGACCTTGGATGTTTGATATAGATCTCACCGTAATGGAGGAGTATGTAGCTATCAAGTCTATAGAGGAGTATAAGTTTAGCAATATTCCCATATGGGTTATGATATTTGGAATGTAGATGGGTATGATGAGCAGTGATACAGTGGAGTCCTTGGGAGAATGGATGGCTTGGAAAATGAGGCGAAAGGATAGTTCATATGTATAAAAGTGAGGTTGGATATTAGGATCTCATTGCTCCACGAAAAACCAGTTGATTTGTTTGTGGGAATTGATGTGACCGAAAGGAGATAATAAAGAAGTGGTGCAGATTTGAATATGAGTATCTACCAAACTTGGTATCATATGTGAGATCATCGGGCATGTTGAAATGGAGTGTAAGATCATTGGACCCTGGTGTTCTTGCCCAAGTGTCTTTATTGAATCTTTTAGTTTCCTTTTTATCACTAGTTTGGTTAAAACAAAATTACAAAAAATGGACGTAAAGTTGCGTCAAGCTTAATCTTGATGAAGTCTTTCTTGAAAATGTGGATTCTGAGAATTGCTATGAAGTGTTAAAGGAAGAATTTAACACAATGTTTGGTATGAGTTCCTTTAATGATAAGAATGACTGCAATGATATTAGTATGAATTCTTTTAATATCCATTGATGGAGTCATGTACCGCGGGTGGCTAACACTAAGGAACCTGGCCTTGTCAACTACAAAGGGGCCCATGGGCCCATGATGTGGCATTAACCCTAGAAGGCGAGTCGACTTTCTTGGCACCCAAGACTAAAGGACGGCGGCACCCCCAGATTGCATCCAGCATGTAAACCCTAAGACATCTCCTATCTATCTAAAGGGAGGTTTAGGGTTCCCCTTGATCATCGATCCTGAGATAGAAGAAACTTTCGGTAGCAACATCATACACCATTGTAACCCCTCGCATGAGGTATCCCTCCACTATGAATAACCAAAACTAGCAGGACATAGGGTATTACTCTCCGGAGGCCCCAACCTAGATAAACCCCTCGTGTGACCTCCGATCCATGGCTTCCAGCTACGCTTGGACCCCTACCAAGGGATCTGGCGTAAATTAGCTCCGTCAGGCGTGCCAGGCACGG